AATTATATGAAAGAAGGCGCCATCAGTTTATTTACACACGATGACCAATTATACATGTAGAATTCCGCAGACTTGCAGCACTGTATTTTGCTGCGAGACAAGTTGGTCGCGCAACAGAAAGTTTCAACTTGCAATGCAACAATGTTGCGAGACAAGTTAAAGAAAAATGTTGCCCGTATTACCGGATCTTAATGGTGATTTCTTCGACGGCAAAAATATCAAATGAAAACCCTTGCTCAATAAACAGTGAGCTCGAACTTCCGGAGTCCATGCATATAACAGTCAGGCCAAGTTTGAAATATGGATAGGAGCGTTAAATTGAAGAAATACGGCACATTGCATTTTAGATGGAAGGATGCTCGTATGACAGCAAAATTATTTAGCCTAAACCAGAACAAAACGACAAACGAACTAGAAATAGGCCATATGGCTGGTTTGGCAAAGTTAGAGAGCGCGTGCGGCTTTTGGTTCGTTTAGGGGATGCGCCAAAACAAAGCGCACAGATTGGAAGTTACTGTTCTCGAGTCGTTGAAGCCACTCGGGCGTTTTTCTGCTAAGTAAATAAGGCTCTCACTCCATAAGGATATATTAACGAAAAATGCACAAAGCTTGTTACTGGAGGATGAGTCAAATCAGGTAAAAACTTTCTGAAATTCACGCGAAAGTCGCTTTTTTTACTAGTTTCTACTGTACCTTTCGCGCTTATTCGAATAAAGGGTTGCTTTTTGAAAAGTTGCTTTACTTTTGCGCATCCCATTTACAGGGCACAAAACTCCCGCTAAAGTTTGCGTATCTACGTAGGTCATATTTCTTGTCTATTCGCGGGATGACCGGGGTGACCTAGAAACCACAATTTCGTTTGCATTGTATGATGGGATATTACAGTTCTCAAGATGGCGGCTAACTTGAACTCAGAGTTTTGGCGTCGCATCAATGATCTCAAAATACAACTACAGTCTTTGTACAGAATTGAGGGATTCCAACTGAATGATGAAGAGTCTCACGCGAAAAATATTGTGAAACCAAAGATTTTATCCAGGTGAGCAGTTACATGTAGAAAATGCTTCTCTTAAAATACTGTAAGTTGATCGTCTTTCAAAAGTGAATTTGTAAGCTCAAGTTAGGCTAAAGGTTATTCAATTTGACATCAGAAATTTGATTCAGAAAAAACTATTTTCTCAGATATTCTAAAAGCATGTGTTGAGTAGTCTCTTGAGTACCCTTATAATACTTATTGCTCCAGACAGAACCAGAAAAGCGTTTCTACTTTAGGTTCAGATAAGCTTACGTTCCGCCGACAACTTTCTTTTAAACTTAAGATGGCTAGACATTAAACTTATTCACATCTTTTATTTTATGTTAAATGCCTGTTGGACACTTTTTCTTTCCCAAACTTCAACATACCTAGCCGCAAAATACTTGGGTACATTTTGGCTGTAAATCTGTGTTAAATGCGTAATGACCTCAGAGTTATTCAAAACATTTGATATTGGCCACAGAAGAGTAAAAATTTAGGGAAATTTTCATCAAGATCAGGGAACTTGGAAAAGTGGTGACAACTGTTAATTCAAAAGACATTAAAGCAAAAATAAAGAGTAAATTGCCATCATTTCCTTGGACAAGTTTATAAGGGTCAGTGAAACTGTTTTCTGGTCAGGGAAATCACAATGAATTTATTTGTGTTTCCTTTACCTCAGTCAGTTTCCTTAGTTTCACCATTCACCTTGTTTTTATTTAAGAAATGGAACATAGTTTGTAATTAAAAGAAGAGCATCTTCAAAGAAACCCAGTACTTCCACTGTGCCACAGACCTGTAAAGTTTCTGAGACAAATTCAGTTTACACGTATTTACACCCAACATGATCATTCCAATATTAAATTAACAGTAATGCAGAGATCAATGAGTCATACCAATCATACTTTAATCCACGTTTTTTTTTTCTGACTACACATGTAGCATTATGAAATGTGGTGGTACTACATGGAAAGATGTGCCAGGAATGTACCACTCAAAGATCCCCAAACTATTGATAATCTAAATAAGAAAGTATATCCTGGAGTTAAAATAACACAATGTAGATAAATCATTCAATAATACTGAAAAGCTGGGTCCTATTTACATTGTGGGAGGTGTGTTGCCTTATGATTAGCGTGCTCCACTCCAGATTGAGCAGTGCAGGTTCGAGCCCTGGCCTGGGTCACTGCATTGTGTTCTTAGGCAAGACACTTTATTCCCACAATGCTTCTCTCTGCCCAGATGTATAAATGAGAAGCAGCACATTTCATGCAAGGGGGAAGGGGGGGGGGGTTAACCCTTTGATGGACTAGAATTCCCATCCAGGGGGAGTTGCCTAATTGTATGGAAACCTGGATAACCTCCAGCAGTATGGAACACTTGGCCCGACACAGACTTTATGTTTGTGCCTATTTACTTCACAGAGATGAAGTTATCACTAAACTGGAGGATGTTATTCTGACAATTGTTCAGGATCTCTCACAAGAAAAGCCACCATCTATAAAATACAACTCCAGAAATTCTTGGAAAAACACAAGGTTTGGTTAATTAGAAAACAGTCGTGTTAACAGAAGAGTTAGCTATAAATGTTTTGATTCTTGTCAGCAGCCTATGGTATCAGGACGAGAAAAGAATCATTTTCATTGTCATGATGACGCAGTGACTGAATAGTGACAAACTTACAATCTGATTGGCTACACACTGGCAACCATCATTGATCATTAGATGGCCCTTTGTAAAAGGAGCATGCACAAGTTTTAGTGCACTATGGATCTCCTATGGCTTGACAATATTATGAACTATCAATAAAAGAATTTTATATGAAAGAGAACTTGATAGCAGTTTCTATCGTCTTTGATACATGATTATCAACTGATCTCTTGTCAGCTGATAATCTCCTTGAGTTCAGGGTATAAAATTGTTTTTTGATATATACTATCATAAGCAAAACCACAGTGTGGCTTACATATGTACCAAGTCTACTGCAGATCTCAATCAGTTAAGAAATTTATCTATAGGTGTTTTAAAGTGTTTTTGCCAAACATTTGAACAGCTGTAACAAACTGTATACCACAAAACTCTAACCACTTTATTTAACAGATTGACGTGTTTCAACATAATGTGTATAAGTACTATTACTCTGACGTCTTGCTCTCTTACACAAAGGAACAATTAAAGCTCTATTTGCTCAACAATTTTCAGATATAATTCCAAGTACAGCTGTCCCACGCATAGTATAATATGTTGTGTTTTAACAGTAGAAAGTGTATTCTGTTGTTCTGAGCTGTTGTTTTCTCCCATACAGGTTCAACAGTGCAGTTGGAATTGAAATGATTGATAATATCAACAAAACAGAACACAGATTTGATTCCATGGCATCGGTTGGAAAGTTTGGTATGAAAAAAGTTAATTGCTAGTGTTTCAGAAGTCCTCCAATCAGGGGGAGAGAGGGTCAGTCCCAGAGAGGTGGGGGCAGCAATGTGAATGTTATTATGTATTTTAGGGATTTAGTATAGGTAATCATACGGTTTCGAGTTCAATTTGNTTAAATCAGTAATCATGTTTTTGCATTACACATGTCTTTCCATTTCAAATTTTCACAGTTGCTCCAATTTAATATGATACCTTTTAGGTTACATTTTCAAAGTAATTATACATAAGCTGCAAATTACATTTTCATGTTTAAGAGAGATGGCTCTTAGCTCACCAGTGTCAAATTTCACTTTTCTAGAAAATAAAGTACATTGGTAATTCGAATAAAAATGCCACATACAATATATATATATTTCTTTGAGAATTTTGGACAAGCACCGCACATCTTTTATACAAGATCCCCTCCCAGTTGTCTCTGCCCTTCTCACTGAAAATAATCCCACATAGTCCTCTATTCAGCTTCTCAAGACAATGTAGAAAATTATTACAGATACAGTATGAGCTGAGAACTGAGAGATAAAGATGAAAAACATTGTTCCCGTGTTCCTTTAAAACTATTCTCAGATGTTATTCCGGTATTGTCAATTTCCTCTAAGATGTTATACCTGAAAATTGTAACCATTACCTCTTCGCCCATCTTGGACTTTTTTTTTTTTTCTTGTTTTAGCTGCCACATTACAGATCATAGCATTTTGTTACAGACTTCTTCAACAAGACACATACGCAACAAAACGGTTGGTTGACTACTTAACAGGCCCTTTGCAGCTAAGCCATCACGTGACCTATTTTTCATAAAATTATGGGCTATAACTTAACGAATGCCAGAAATTGAAAAAGCTTGTCGAAAATATCAAAATGGCCAAGTTTGAGGCCCCCATCATTAAAAAAAGAGATTTTATGACAATCTGAACTTTTTGAAAAATAAGAAGATTTGTATGGAAAAAGTTGTTGGAGAGCAAGGTCTTGCTCACCAGCAACATTTTCCATACAAATCCTCTAAATTTTCTGAAAATTCAAACTGTCTTATAAACTTACTCTTTAATTCCAGGGGCCTCAAACTCGGCCATTTTGGTATTTTCGATGCACTCTTTCCATTTCTGGCATTCTTTAAGTATAGCCCATAATATAAAAATTTTCCAGGAAAAATTTGGTCACGTGACCCCAGCTGCAAATGGCCTATTAGCAGTAATAAGTTATAACTGTTAAAAATTTAATCAAATCAGGAAGGCTGGACATAGAAGATACAAGAAGAGGTCACTTTTATGACTCGGATACAAACGAAATACAAAAATTCCCTCTCAGTGTTACGGGTATGTAAGTTCGTTTACTTTTCAACTCAGCCATTGAGTGCCTGTCGCAGCTACTAGCGACCACTAGCTAAACTGTTTCATACACCCGCTTGTCGAGAAAGTCAGAGTCACAAAGAGGTTTCCAAACAAATCGCAAGGAACTTCACGATGGTCTATTCGTTTTCTGTGCAATATGCGAGCGACGCGTGAACTGAGAGTTACAGATATAGGCGCAGAAAGTTAATTAACTTTGCAAAACCCAGCTTGCCAACCAATACATGCATGTTTACCTCATTCTCTAAATGCCTGCAGGGATATTACATCACATGGCCTCCACATTGCACGGTTTAAACGTGCTAGGCGCAGAAACACTTTGTCTGATGCTCTGGCCAAAACTCTGATCTCGATACTTTACAGTTTCCTAATCTTGCAAAACCAGGTTAGTTTAAACCCATATCATCAAGAAGCATTTTGTAATCATTTTTACTGTAGCCTTAAGGATTTCAACTTGTAATGCTCTCGTGTACAGCTGTGCTGTATTTATTTATTTAGTATTACTGATTAATTGAATCTTCTTTGTTGATTTTCGTTTTATTATCAGGGACATTTATTATTCTGATGTGCCATTCTTTGGAAATCAGGGTGTTGTGGATTCTGTTGTAGACAATCTTGCCTGCATGTTAAAAGTACCGAGATATTGTTTACATGTGGTAAGTTTCTCAACACTGAAAACTATCCCCCAGTTATATAGAGCTGTCTTTGTCCTAATTGATCCTTTTTTGAAAGTAGGTTGTTCAATCATCAGACATCTTCTTTTTAAAGGGGCTCAGTCACGGTATTTTGAGTTATTTTGGCCACAAACAAAATTACTTTTAAGTGGTAGGAAACCTGAAAATAACAGTTTAATAAGATAGAAAAACACCAAAGAGATAATGATAAACCATAAAGGAACAAGGATGGCTAAGGATGGAGAAGATTAACACGGATAACAATCGACGAATTTGAAAAATTGAGGCTAAACTTCTCAAAAAGCGCAAACCGTGACGTAGCTCCTTGAAGTCACACTTATGGTAACTAAAAATTGGTCCCAACAGGGAAGTCCAGAAATACTTGTCTACGACTCTTCGTGACTGAAAACCCTACCAAGTGTATGTGTATCGCGTTAAGAGCAGTTTCAACTCATACTGAGGGTCGAAAAAACCGCAACGAACGAACACAGAGCAATAAACCAATGAGAACTTGCACTGATAGTGAGGACCTGATTGCTTGCCGGGGAGTAGTTTAGTAAAACGTACAGCAAAACAAAAGTAATTACAGAGATACTGATTCAGTACTCAATTGAAACGTCTCTCTTGAAAATGAAAAAAAAAGAAAAAAGAACAGCGAAGCAGAATGAAAGCAAAATATTTTGAACAGGTTTTAATGGAATGGAAACCAAAGTAATTGTGTCTGGCCAATCACAACGCGCCAAAGTAACATAATTAGCCAATCAGAGCTGACATAGCTGGCATTCGGGGAATTTTAAGACCCCAGTTCTTGATTGGCTCATTATTTTGCACATGATTAGCCGAGAAAAAGACCTGTTTGTTCTAATTGATTGAAAACCTCAGCTCTGATAGCCAAGCGTTTACGTTTCAAGTTAATTTTTCAGTCTGCTAAAACCCAAGACAAATGTTTACTGATTGTTTTTTTAACTCTTGAAATTTCAGCTTGCAGCTTCTAAAGGTGAGACGTCCTGGTCCCAACTATCGTAATCTCCATGAATTAGTATCATCGTAGATATTAGCCTTGTAGACAAGGATCGTTTAAATTTATGAAATTTACTGTAACAATAACGTGCATATATTTTGCAACTGTATATCAAAGGTTTGAATAGAATGCCTCAGTGTAATATACCACGTTTTACGGTGCTGAACTGCGCTTATCTTATTTTTTCAGATTTTTTTTTTTTTTTTTTCACCAAACGTAAGGGCGGAAAGAAATTTAATTTACAGCTAGAAAAAGCGATTAGCACTCCGTCCGTCAGCTTATGAGATTATGGAAAAATGAAATTTCACTAATTTAAATTTTAAGGCCGTACAATACTGTCATACAGGTTGTATAGCTGGAGACCTGAGGTACAAAGAACACGATGGAACTCATGTGGACTGCATGGATAAAATCTCGGTTTGCTTTATGTTTGTTTGTTTGTTTGTGTTCATGTTTGCCAGTTTTCCTTTAGCCTCCGGTCAATCTTCAAGCAGACAGAACAGCTATTAACATGTAAAAGTCGCGAACTGAATTGCTTGATAATACATCCATGTGTTTCAACAGTCCATATCTGATTCACTTTGCTAACGTTGTTAACCCGCAGGGTACAATGGTTTCCTCTCACGTGCAGGGAATATACGGTATCCTTGTATAGGACTTTTCCAATAGATGAAACTATCGATGTCAGTAACATACAGCAGAAACAGTATCACATGAAAGTACTACTCGCAACATTAAGTGCGTATCTCGAGTAACATTTTACGTAGATATGTCCCCCGTTAGAGGTCGTTCATTGAGCTACAGTAAAATACACCTCGTAAACAACGAGCCAAAAAATTGTTATTGTCCCCGTTAGCGGTTTACAGTTGTTTGTCCGTAACGTTGACTAGATATGCATTCAGATGCCAAGTTTGTGTTAGTTGTTGAAAAAGAGGCTTCCTTCCAACGACTTATGGACGACAATGTACTACAGAAGCTAAATCCATGTATTGTCATCACCGTAAGTATATACATTGAGATTTTTGTTGTTGTTGTTGTTGTTTTTGCGTTCCTCCTGTCCCTCTGTAGCTTACTATTCTGAGCTCTCCTCGGTATTGATTTCGTGACTTTCTTTCTAAACCTCACAACATTGCAGTACAATGCACGTAACAAACGAGACTACTCCTTACTCCGTTTTGTATTGCGTTGGTTGTAAACTGCTCATACAATGTTATCATTCAGGGTAAAGGCTTCCCGGATGTAAATACCCGTATGATGGTCCGTTGCCTGTGGAGCACTCTTCAAATACCCATCTTAGCCCTGGTGGATGCGGACCCTCATGGTAAGTCAAAAGGTTTTACATTCTTTACCCTTGACGAGGGTGTAGCAATTTCTCCGTCTAAATACAACTCTCTTTTAAAACAGTTCAATTGATTCATTATCCTATGTTTCCATTTTGCCTTCACCACACAACCGAACACACTCAAAGGTTGAGGAATGGGCGCGTTGGTCAGCCAGGCACAAAATTGCTAGTTTTCAGTGTCATGCAATTCAAAATAGATCAAAATCAAAATCAAAACCGGCATATAGATAAAGTCCAGAATCTGGGAAATGAAAGAAGGTAAATATGCAAAGACTCTCGCCAAAATTCTGGTCACAGCAATTTTTCTTATGCGAGATATGC